CTTCACCAACCAGGAACCCTGTCCGTAGTTGCTAAGTGGGCCTGGGCCCCTCTTCGTAGCCACAGTGGCCCTTTGGATTCCCTCCTCTGCCGTGGGGGCCGTCACAGGGGGGCTTCAGGCTGCAGGTGCCTACTGTTGCAGCCCACCTAGATGTGCTCTCTCCTTGGGGTCTGCAACGGTGTTATGGGCTTTTCCAGCAGCCAGGGGTGGGATCACTTATATTTGTCGCTCCGTTGCTGTCGGCACCCACCGAATCTCACTTGTCCTCTATGGGTCGCAGGAGAGCTATTGGCATCTTCTACAGTCTGTGGTTAGTACACCTAGCTATGCTGCTTTTGCCCTGGGGTCTTCCAGCCTTGTGGCTGGCGGCTGGGTGCCTTCTACTGGTGCTGTGCAGAGGCTTTCCCTAAGGCTGCTGTGAGCCTGTAGGGTTTCCCCCTAGGCTACTAAGCTGGGTCTCTGGAACTCTCTCCAGCCCCAGTCCTCTCCGAGATCTCCGGCAATCCCTAGTCTCACGGGGCGGGCAACGGCAGCTGGGGGTCGCCCCGCCGTCTGGGCTTCTCTCCGGGCCTCTCCCGGGAGCCCTGAATGCTGGGCGTGGCCCCTCTGCTAATGGCAGACAGAGGGTTTTTTCTGCTGCCTGGCGGAACTCTGGCTCTTCCCCTCCGGGTCGCAGGACCAGCCTTTGAAAGTTCCCCCCGCCCCGGTCCTCTCTGAGATCTCTGGCAATCTCTAGCCCCACGGGGCAGACAACGGCAGCTGGGGGTCGCCCCGCCCTCTGGGATTCTCTCCAGGCCTCTCCTGGAGCTGTGAATGCTCGGCGTGGCCCCTCTGCTAACGGCAGACAGAGAGTTTTGTCTGCTGCCCGGGCGGAGCTCCCGCGCTTCCCCTCCGGGTCGCAGAACCGGCCTTTGAAAGTTCCCCCCGCCCCGGTCCTCTCCGAGATCTCTGGCAATCCCTAGTCCCACGGGGCGGGCAACGGCAGCTGGGAGACCTCCTTACCCTCCGTGACTCTCTCTGGGACCCTCCGGGCGCCCCGAGCACCAGGCTGGGTCTCCCCGCCAATGGCGGGGAGAGACTCTCCCCGCGGGCTCAGGTGTGCAACTCCAAAGTTTCCCTCTGCGTTTAGGAGTAATTGCGGGGGGTTTAGGTAGGGTTCTGGTCACCTGTTTCCACCGTCGCTCCTCTGTTGTGTTCTCGCTCCTGCCCTAGATGTGTGTGGATCCTCTGGGGGCGTCTGTTGGAAGAAAGCCGCTTGCAGGTACTAGGCTGCCCGTCGGGGTCGGAGAGTTTTCACCTATTTCCACATCCTCCCGGAGGAAAGTCCGTCCGCCTTCCGATGTATAGTCGCGTGGGTGTCTCAGACGTCCTGAGGTGCTGTCTGGATATCCTTTGTCAAGCGATAAGTGTCCAAATAATTGTAGACTCGAAGGGCGAGAGACAAAGAGGACTACTCATGGCGCCATCTTGGATCTTCCTCCGTGCACAGCACTATTAAATAAAATTGCACACACGTAACAATGGTTATAATCTGAGGTATCTTCTAAATATGACCATTTTGGCCTGAACCATTCCCTTCCTCACCTCCTCCTCTCCACAGCCAATCCAGTGGACAAGTACAGGCATGAGTAATGCTTAGAGGTGGTTGCACAAATTCATATCTGAAAGTCATTTACAGAAGGTAACACAAAGTGAATTTCAACACGAAGTGTACAAAATGTGCCAGTTTTACTAACTACTTTGTCATACACTGGCAACCTCTTTTAACATCTAGAGACTAGATGCTGTAAAATTAGGACTCATTTGTCCATTATATACACAGCAAAACAAAATGCACATAACATACAAAAAATGGTTTTGTCTGAAAATGTCCAAGTATGCACACACTAGTGTATTACCAATTGCAATTCTTTCCCTCCCACCTCCTGCAAACCACTGAGCAAGTATAAACAATAATATACTGTTCACAGAGAGGGTTTAACAATTCCATTTCCAAAAAGCAACATTTCCAATGAATTTTAGCAAAAAAATATTTACAAAGTGATATTTTGCTACCTCTACATTTAACATACGGGCACTTCTAAACATCTAGATGGACTAGATGTTTCAAATGAGGACTTAATTTGTGCACTATATACACAGCAGTCTTGAGTAAACTGCACACATGGAACAGAATCTGAAAGTCTTTGGAATGTGAACATTCTAGCCTAAGACCAACCTTCCCCTTTTCTCCCTCTTCCACCAAAACAGTGGGCTAGAATGCTCAGGTTTTCAGGAGACAATCTTTCCTAGGAATTTTAACACAAAGTGTATAAAATGTATTAGTTTACTAACTCTATTTTTGTCATACACTGGCAACCTCTTTAACATCTAGAAAGACTAGATGTTGTAAATTAGGACTCATTTGTCCGTTATATACATTATATTCACAGCAAAGTAAAACAAAATGCAGGAACATCAGGGACAATGGTTAATCCTGCTCACTATCAACACACTGGCATAGAGCTCTTTGCACTTCCCTCTCCCCTGGAACCAGCGCACAAACACAACGTGCACTGTTCAAATGGGTGGTCTGGCCATTCCCCCCAAAGAAACAGTATTTCATAAGAATCTTAAAAAGATATGTACAAAAATGTCTTTTTAATACCTCTACTTTTAACATATATCAGGCACTTCAGAACATCTAGAAAGACTAGATATTGCAAAAAAGTACTTAGCACTGTCAACTACATATACAGTAGCGAGGAATAAAATGTACACACAAAACAATGGTTATAAAATGAAAACGTGTTCCAAATATGACCACTCTGGCACCGAGCCTTCGTCTCTTCTTCCTCAAGGTCTTCCATGCCACTCCTCTAACCCACTGCACAACCATGGACGTGCGTCGCTCCTGCTGTCGTTTCCAGCAGTGGTCTAACAATTCCATTTCAAAAAGACATTTCCAGAAGACATTTCTATGATGTTTTTGAAAACAAACGGGCATTTTACAAGACGTGTGATTTTCTAACTCTACTTTATCATACGTCGGCAACCTCTTTACATCTAGAAGGCCTAGATGTAGCAAAAGTTTTCTTCTGAAAGGTTGAGGGGAAAGTTGAGAGCAGCTTTTTCATATTATATACACAGGCCTTCCATAAACGGCCAGTAAATCTTCCCAAAGGGTGGCGGTCACTTCCTGTGGGCCAAACGTGGTCTTTTCCTACCATTTCTGTCTTCCAAGGTCAAGGTCTGACAGAACCGAGACCGAAAGCCCGAGGGACCGCCGACCCTTCCACCGTCATGACCGGGACGCCTCACCTTCAGGGCCCCTAAAGCCTTTGTCCGGCGTCCTCCAGATGAGGGGAGATCTCGTCCCACTGGGACAGAGTGGTCACCGCCATGTCCCAGATCTGCGCGGCTCCAAGGCCTACGGGTGGCCCAGCCCGAGTCCAGCAGAGCCACCTAACGGCCCTCCTCTGCGTTCGAGCCACCGCCATTCGTCTGCCCCGCCATGCCCGACGCCCAAAGGCACCGCGTCCTCGGCGGCTCGGCGGGGGCTTCGCCGTGGCCCAGCAAGGTTGGGCAGGGAGATAGGGGTCGGCAGAGTCTGGCCCATGAGAGGCTGCCACCATTACGATGTGGAGGTGGGGCTGGGGTGAGAGGGTCGCTCCTGCTTTAAGGTCGGCCCGGCCCGCGGGCAGCCGCGGCGAAGGCTCTGGGTCTCTGCAGGACAGAGCCCGCTACGGTCTGGCCCCGGGCCCCACAGCCCACCCACTGGCCTGAGGCCGGAGGGCCTGGAGGGCCCCCGGTGACAAGGCCGTGGTCCGCTTCTCACCGTGCTCTCTGACGGAACTTGAAATGATTTTTGAATGTTGATTTTGTACCCTGTAGCTTTACTGTATTTGTTGATTATTTCTAATAGTTTTTTGTTGGAGTCTTTACAGTTTTCCATATATGGAATCATGTCAACCGCAAATAGTGACAGTTTTAATTGTTCCTTTCCTTTTTGCATACCTATTATTTCTTTTTCTTGCCTTACTGCTTTGGCTAAAATTTCCAGTACTATGTTGAAGAAGAGTGGCAAGAGTGGGCACCCTTGTCTTGTTCCTGTTCTCAGACGAATGGCTTTCACTTTTTGACTATTGCATATGATCTTGGCGGTGGGTTGGTGATATATGGCCTTTGTAATGGTGAGGTACTTTCCTTCTATACCCATTTTATTGAGAGTTTTTATCAAAAATGGATGTTAGAAATTGTCAGATGTTTTCTCTCCATCTATTGAGATGATCATGTGATTTTCAGTCTTCATTTTGTTAATGTGATACATCACATTGATGGATTTGCTAATGTTGAACCATTTCTGTACCCCTAGAGTAAATCCCACCTGATCGTGGTGTATGATCCTTTTAATGTATTGTTGTATTCAATTTCCTAATATTTTGTTGAGTACTTTTGCGTCTATGTTCATCACTGATACTGGCCTGTAATTTTCCTTTTTTGTGTTGTCCTTGTCTGGTTTTCATATCAGGATAATGTTTGCCTCAGAAAATGAATTCAGAAGTGTCCCATCCTCCCAATTGTTCAGAATAGTTTGAGAAGCATAGGAATTAAATCTTCTTTGAATGTTTGGTAGAATTCACCAGAGAAGCTGTGTGGTCCTGGACTTTTTCTTTGGGAGGCTTTTGATAACAGTTTCAAGCTCTGCTTGTGATTGGTGTATTCAGATTCTTTATTTCTTCGTGATTCAGTTTTGGGAGGTCATATGGTTCTAAGAATTTATCCATTTCTTCAAGGCTATTCAGTTTGTTGACATATAGTGTTTCATAGTATTCTTCTGTAATCCAATGTGTTTCTGCAGTGTCCATTGTAGTTACTGCTCTTTCATTTCTGATTGTATTTATTCGAGTCTTCTCTCTTTTTTTCTGAGTCTGGCTGAGAAATTGTCAATTTTGTTTATCTTCTCAGAGAACCACTTCTTAGTTTCATTGATCCTTTCTATTTTTTTCTACTTTCTGTTTCATTTATTTATGCTCTGATTTTTATTATTTCCTTCCTTCTCCTGACTTTGGGCTTTGTTTGTTCTTTTTCTAGGTCTTCCAGGTATAGAGAAGCTGGTTTATTTGAGACCCCACTGGCTTTCTGTTGGCTCCCATAGGCGTGGGTGCTGCTGCCCCATCATGACCGATGATGCTTGTCCTGGGTTGTCTGAAGGTGCTGGTTGCACTGCTGCCAGGGGTGCTGGTTTCACAGATGTCACTATCCCTGCCAGGGACCTGGAGAATTATATGTATCTCCTGCTGCTGCTGAGCTGGTGTTGGGCGGGATGCCACCAATGGGGGCTGGGTCAGCAGTTCTGCTGTGTTTCCTGAAGCCTCTGGTCACAGGTTCCACCTGCCAGTGCTGGGGCAAAGGGGCTATTTGTTCTGCCCCCACCCCGTTTGCTCACAGTTGTGTGGGCCAGGCCACCTCCACTGTGCCAGCAGTCACACAGGCCAGGGTACCACCATCCGTGCTCCACCGGCAGTCATGTGAGCTGGGCTGTCCTCACCACTTGTGCAAGCCACTGTGTGAAGATCCACGACCTACATTGCTGCCACTCAGGGAGGGTGGTGGGGGCTTCTCCCCTAGTTCCACTGCTTACTGGGGGTTGAGTCCACCCACCTTCAGATGTATAAATGCATGGATATCTTAGGCATCCTCTAGTGCTGTATAGGAAATCCTCTGTTGGTCAGTGCATGTCCATTTGGCTGTAACTTAGAGGGGAGAGACAAGGGGGGAAATTCCACCATGATGTTGACGTCACTCATGTTGTCTCACTTTTTTGGAACTTTACAAAAAACTAATTTTAAAAAAATTATTGTGGTCTAAATAGTTTATAACATTGTGAAATTTCAGTTTTGATCAGTAGTTATCAAACACCATATCAATGTGCCACTGCACCCCTTGTACCCACTCTCCTGCTGCCACAGTAACCACTAAATTGTTCTCTTTGTTCATAAGTTTGTTTATATTCCACATATGAGTGAAATCATATGGTCTTTTCTCTCTCTGTGTGGCTGATTTCTCTCAACATGATGCCCTCAAGTTCCATCCATATGGTTGTGAATGAGACAATTATGTCCTTTTTATGGTGGAGTAGTATTCCATAGTATATATATACCACATCATCTTTATACAATCATCAGTCATTGGGCACTTGGGTTGCTTCCACATCTTGGCTATTGTGAATAATGCTGCAGTGAACATAGGGGTGCATACGTCTCTTTGTATTGTTTATTTCAAGGTCTTTGGATAAATACCCAGTAGTGGGATAGCTTGGTCATATGGTAATTCTATTTTTAATTTTTTGAGAAATCTCCATACTGTTTTCCAAAGTGGCTGCACCAGTTTGCATTCCAACCTGCAGTAGATGAGGGTCCTCTATTCTCCACAACCTCTCCAACATTTGTTATTTTTTTGTCTTGGTGATTGTAACTGTTCTAACAGGCGTAAGATGATATCTAACTGTAGCTTTGATTTGTCTCTCCCTGATGATTAGTGATGTTTAGCACCTTGTCATCTGCCTATTGACCATCTGTATATCTTCCTTGGAAAAATGCCTGTTCATATCCTCTGCCCACTTATTGATTGGGTCATTTATTCTTTCATAGTTCAGTTGTGTGAGCTCTTTATATATTACGGAGATTAATCCCTTATCGTATGTATGATTTGCAAATATTTTCTCTCAGTTCCTGGGTTGTTTTTTCATTTTGATCTTGGTTTCTTTTGCCTTCCAGAAGCTCTTTAGTCTGATGAAGTCGTGGCCACTTGTTTATTGTTTCTTTTGTTTCCCTTGTGTGAGTGGACACTATGTAAAGATCCTTTTAAGGCTGATGACAAAGAGTGTACTGCCTATATTTTCTTCCAGAAGTTTTATAATTTCTGGTCTTACACTCAAGTCTTTGATCCATTTTGGGTCTATTTTTGTCTATGGAGAAAGATAATGGTCTGCTTTCATTATTTTAGATGTGGCTCCTTAGTTTTCTCAGCACCACTTATTGAAGAGGCTTTCCTTACTCCATTCTATGTTCTTGGTTCCTTTATTTTTTATTTATTTGTTTGTTTTTGAGGAAAATTAGCCCTGAGCTGAAGTCTGCTGCTAATTCTCCTCTTTTTGCTGAGGAAGACTGGCCCTGAGCTAACATCTGTGCCCATCCTCCTCTACTTTATATGTGGGATGCCTACCACAGCATGACTTGCCAAGTGGTGCCATCTGCACACCCAGGATCCAAACTGGCCAACCCTGGGCCACCAAAGAGGAATGTGCAAACTTAACCACGGCACCACTAGGCCAGCTTCCTTTATTGAGGATTAGCTGTCCATATATGTGTGGTTTTATTTCAGGGCTTTCAGTTCTGTTCCATTTACCTGTGTGCCTGTTTTTGTACTGGTACCATGCTGTTATGATTACTATAGCTTTGTAAGATGTTTTGAAATCAGGGATTTCAATGCCATCAGTTTTCTTCTTGTTTCTCAGTATTGCTTTAGCAATTTGGGGTCTTTTGTTGCCCCATATGAATTTTAGGATTCTTTGTTCTAATTCTGTAAAGAATGTCATTGGGATTCTGATTGGGATATCATTGAATCTGTAGATTGCTTTAGGTAGAACAGACATTTTAACTATGTTTATTATTCCAATCCATGTACATGGAATGTCTTTCCATCTCCTTATGTCATCATCCAATTCTCTCAAAAAGGCCTTTTAATTTTCATTGTATAGGTCTTTCACTTCCTTAGTTAAATTCACCCCAACATATTGTATTCTTTTTGTGGCGATTGTGAATGGTATTGTGTTCTTGAGTTCTTTTTCTGTTAGTTCGTTATTAGAATATAGAAATGCTACTGATTTATGCAAATTAACTTTATACGCTGAAACTTTGCTGTAGTTATTGATTACTTCTAAGACTTTTCCAATGGATTCTTTGGGGTTTTCTATATATAAGATCATGTCATCTGCAAAGAGCGAGAGTTTCACTTCTTCCCTCCCTATTTGGATTCCTCTTATTCCATTTTCTTGCCTGATTGCTCTGGCCAGGACCTCTAGTACTTTGTTAACATAAGAGTGGTGATAGAGGCCATTCTTGTCTCATTCCTGATTTGAGGGGGATGGCGCTCAGTTTTTCCCCATTGAGTATGATGTTGGCTGTGGGTTTGTCACATATGGCCTCTATTATTTTGAGGTCGTCCCCTTCAATGCACATTTTATTCAGAGTTTTTATCATAAATGACTTTTGAATCTTGTCAAATGCTTTCTGTGTATCTATTGATATGATCATGTGGTTTTTATTGCTCAGTTTGTAGATGTGATGTATCACATTGATTGATTTGTGGATGTTGAACCATCCCTGTGTCCCTGGTATGAATCCCACTTGATCATGATGTATGATCCTTTTAATGAATTGTTCAATTCTGGTTGCCAAACATTTGTTTAGAATTTTTGCATCGATGTTCATCAGCAATATTGGCCTCTAGTTCTCTTTTTTGTGGTGTCCTTGTCAGGCTTTGGTATCAGCGTGATGTTGGCCTCATAGAATGTGTTAGGAAGTGTTCCATCCTCCATAATTTTTTGGAATAGCTTGAAAAGGATAGGTATTAAATCCTCTCTGAAAGTTTGGTAGAATTCCCCAGGAAAGCCATTTGGTCCTGGGATTTTATTCTTTGGGATGTTTTTGATTGCTGTTTCAATCTCTTTCCTTGTGATTGCTCTGTTCAAATTGTCTGCTTCTTCTTGAGTGAGCTTTGGGAGATTGTAGGAGTCCAAAAATTTATCCATTTCCTCTAGGTTATCCATTTTGTTGGCATATAATTTTTCATAGTAGTCTCTTATAATCTCTTGTATTTCTGTGGAGTCTGTTGTTATTTCTCTTCTTAGATTTCTGATTTTGTTTATTTGAGCTTTCTCCCTTTTTTTCTTTGTAAGTCTGGCTAGGGGTTTGTCAATTTTATTTATCTTCTCAAAGAACCACCTGTTTGTTTCATTGATCCTTTCTACTGCCTTTTTCATTTCAATAGCATTTGTCTCTGCTCTGATTTTTATTATTACTCTCCTTCTGCTCACTTTGGGCTGTGTTTGTTCTTCTTTCTCTAATTTGCTTAGGTGTAGTTTAAGATTGCTTATTTGGGATTTTTCTTGTCTTTTAAGATGTGTCTGTATTGTGATGAATTTTCCTCTTAATACAGCTTTTGCTGTATCCCATATGAGTTGGCATGGCATGTTATTTCCATTTGTCTCCAGGTATTTTTTTATTTCTTCTTTAGTTTCTGCAATGATCCATTGCTTGTTCAGTAGCATATTGTTTAGTCTCCACATCCTTGTGCCTTTCTCAGCTTTTTTCTTGTAATTAATTTCTAGCCTTATAGCATTATGATTGGAGAAGATGCTTGTTATTATTTCAATTTTTTAAAATTTGTAGAGGCTTCCCTTGTTTCCCAACATATGGTCTACACTTTAGAATGTTCCACACGCACTTGAGAAGAATGTGTGTCTGCTGTTTTTGCATGAAGTGTTCTATATATGTCTATTAAGTCCAATTGTTTTAGTTTTTCATTTAGCTCCACTATTTCCTTGTTGATTTTCTATCTGGATGATCTGTCCATTGATGTGAGTGGGGTGTTGAGGTCCCCTACTATTATTGTGTTGTTTCTAACATCTTCCTTTAGGTCTGTTAATAGTTGCTTTACGAACTTTGGTGCTCCTGTGTTGGGTGGGTAGATATTTATAAGCATTATTTCTTCTTGATGAAGTGTCCCTTTGATCATTATATATTGTCCCTCTGTGTCTGTCTTTACCTGCCTTATTTTGAAATCCCTTTTCTCTAAGTACTGCAACACCTGCTTTCTTTTGCTTGCTATTAGCTTGAAGTATTGTCTTCCACCCCTTCACTCTGAGCCTGTGTTTGTCCTTGGGTCTGAGGTGTGTTTCCTGGAGGCAACAAAGTGTTGGATCTTGTTCTTTAATCCATTTTGCCACTCTGTGTCTTTTTATTGGAGAGTTCAATCCGTTTACATTGAGGGTGATTATTGATGCATATGGACTTAATGCTGTCATTCTGTCGCTCATTATCTGGTTTCCCTGCACTACCTTTGTTTCTCGTCCTGTGTGTTTTAGCCTACCCATTGACTTCTGCAATTTCTTATGCTGGGTTTCTTGGATTTTTCCTTATTTATATTTT